TATACAAAACTATAATGTATGTGTGCACTTGATCATGTATTTTATATAGGAAAAATTATCTAGAGTTTGATAACCCTGTCAAATCACATGTATTTGATATCACATGGTATCTTATACAAGTAATTTTTTAATATGTTGTATTTATCAACAATGGTAAGATCACGTGCATTATTAGATATCATAAGGCCGTGCATTATAAGATATAACACGAATCTAATATCATATCATATATTACTAATAAATAAAGTTGGTCTCACAGCCAGGCCACGAGACCGCGACATTTGACATTCCAGTTTTTCGCCAAGTGTCGCGTCACGTAGGTGACAAATATGTGTTATTGTGACACATATGATGCTAAATAACCGAATTTTGGATAGCTTTTTTAAGATAAAATTACCGTATAGAGTTTTATTGTCGATATACTTCTAATATTTCATATATACAAAATTAATCATAACTTTTAATAAATATCCTATATTTCGGTTCCATTTCCATCATAAAATTCGTTTTAAAAAGTTCTTTAAAATAAAATCCATTTATAATGTATTTATTTATTTTAGAAAATAATAGTGAATATTGGTAAAAAAAAAAACACACAAAAGTTCAAAAAAAGCCGGTTTACAATAATAGTTATTGAATGGCGATATTGTAGCCATTACCTCTCTTATTTTTCCTGCATTTATTTTGCCTCCTGCCTTCAAGCGATAGTGATGATTTCAGTAGGAGATTTGTTACCTCCCTTTAATTTCTTTTAATTTTGTTTTTTTCTATCTCCTTTGTTCTTCAATTTCACTCTCCATTCTCTTTCCTCTTTATTTCTCACCCAACTTTCTCTCTCTTCTGCTCTCAATTTCTCTTTTTTGTTCCCAGTTTCTTTCTATTTTGGGATCAATTTTTCACCATTACAAATCCTCTCAATTTTCTTGGTTATACTCTACTTTTCGATTCCTAATTTTAATTTTTTGCATTTTTCTTTTGATTATGAAGTTCCAAACGTATCAATGAAGAAGATTAGTACAAATCCATCATATGCAAATATGTTTTTTGAATTACTTTACGGTATATCAATATGATTTATATGGTTCTGCTATTGTTGAATTTTGATTTCAATTTTTAATTGCATTACTTTCATTGTTTTTCTATACATTTTTACTTGTAAATTGTGGAATGAAGAAAACTAGTAATCTAGCTTCAAATAAATGAGGGAGATCTATCGTGTATTAAGTTTTGTGAAAATAAAAGGGTCATTTTTGTGAAATAAAAAGAGTAAAAAAGGGTCACTTTTGTTGAAAAAAATGTCACTTTTGTAAAAAAAAAGGTCACTTTTGTGAAAAAAAGGGTTTATTTTGTTGAAAAAAATGTCACTTTTGTAAAAAAAAAAGTCACTTTTGTGAATAAAAAAGGGTCACTTTTGTGAATAAAATGGGTCATTTTTGTGAAAAAAAAAGGTCACTTTTGTGAAAAAAAGGGTCACTTTTGTGAATAAAAGGGGTCACTTTTGTGAAAAAAATGGGTCACTTTTGTGAAAAAAAAGGTCACTTTTGTAAAAAAAAAAAGTCACTTTTGTGAATAAAAAAGGGTCACTTTTGTGAATAAAATGGGTCACTTTTGTAAAAAAAAGGTCACTTTTATGAAAAAAATGGTCACTTTTGTGAATAAAAGGGGTCACTTTTGTGAAAAAAATGGGTCACTTTTGTGAATAAAAGGGGTCACTTTTGTGAAACAAAAGAGTCACTTTTGTGAAACAAAAGGGTCACTTTTGTGAAAAAAATGGTTACTTTTGTAGAAGAAAAAGGGTCACTTTTATACGAAAAAGGGTCACTTCTCGCAAAATGTTCGATGTACAATAAAATTATTGTAAACCGGGGCATGCAAAAGGGATTGAAAAAAAAAATACTTTCAGTTCAATAAAAGTTTAAGATAAAAATGTTTATAGAGTTTTATTATCATTATATTTCTAATATTTGATTTATGCAAAATTAATCATAACTTTTAATAAATATCGTATAATTCAGTTTTTTTTTCATCATAAAATTCGTTTCAAAAAGTTCTTTAAAATAAGATCCATTATTTATAATATATTTAATTTAGTTAAAAATATAATAGAGAACTAGTAAAAATAAGTTTTAATCAGTAAAAATAATTTTGGTTTGGTAAAAATACTTTCAATTCAGTAAAAATAGTTTAAGTTTAATAACAATAATTTCAATACTACAAAAAGTACACTATTACTCCGTATATGATATCGTATGTCTAAACATCTTGCATTATCAAAAAGAATTATACGTCCATATTTAACAATCTGGACATCATCCAGGCATAAAACTAGTCAATAATAATAGTAGTAATTTTAAAGGACTTCTAAACAAATATATCTCGCAATGTCATCAATTTATGAATATAATCGGTTTATAGATGACTTTGCAACTTATTAAAGTTCTCGAGATATTTATTTAATACTTAATTATAATAAGATTTTTATCAAAAAAATAAAAAAATATAAAGAGTACAAGAATAGTGTGACGTCTGCAATTCACAGCCTCTTAAAGGGTTGGCATGGAATCTTTTCTGGTCAAAGTTGAGAAAAAATTCTGTGAGTTAGATTTGGTATAAGATCTTAACCAGTATGATATTAGACAAACGAAATGATAATCATACTAATAAGTGTATAGTATACTATATTCACAGAGAAAAAGATATTTAATAAACAAGATATAAAAGTACCTGAAAATATGGACTGTGGTTCAAGTAGTTTATAATATGCAGTAATGGAATATTGATGCTATTTCATACTTCATGATTAAGTAATTAGCCTAATTACATATGCTTGATTTAGCTATCCATTCACTTCTTGTTAATCAAAGGAAAGTTGTGTGGCTTTGTGTCATACTACCTTGGTTGTTTTTATATTTAACTAATTAACTATGAATACGCAATTTAAGAAATTGTTAAAGAATGTAAGTGGGTGTAAGATAAAGTAAGAGAGAGAATGTTACAGAGTATAATAAAATGGGTTTGTGTAAGAAAAAGGTGAATAAAGTAAATGCGAGAGTATGAAAAAGTGTAGGGTTGAAGGGGTAAGATGGTTAAAAGGGAATGCAATAAATAATATACTACCTCCTTTTTATATTAATTGTAATAAAGGGGTATTATTTATGAGAGATAAAAATTTCTTTGTTGCAGTTAATATGAAACAGAGGTAACTAGCAAAATGAGTAGTACTTGATGGAACAACCTAAAATGAAAAGGGGATAAAACAAAAAAATCAACGGAAGGGAGTACGAAGTATGAGACTGCGTAGCTTGCTAAGACTGTGAGTACGAGTACAAGACTGAAATAAATAACCCAACTCATCCAAACGAACCAAGGCTGGCAATCTTGGCATCATGATTTAAAGGTTAACCTACGAAGTTGGACGGGATTAAAAATAAATAAATAAAATAAAATAAATCATATCCAAACGAAATCGATTTATCACAATCTAGTCCGGTAAAAATTGACTTGGCTTTAGAAATTTAATATGGATTATCTATTTTAAATAATTATTTTATATAAAAACATTTGTGTAAGACCGTCTTTAAAATTTTGACCAATCTTAAATTAAGGCCCTGTTCTGTTCAGCTTAGTTTCAGTTCAGTTTAGCTACAATCAGTTCAGTTCCTAATTTCCTTCTCTCATACACAGTTCATTTAAGCTCTATTCAGTTCAGTTCAGCTTGGTTCAATTGTTTTCAGTAAATCGAAACATGCCCTAAATATGGATCAATTTCATCTATTTTCATAATAAATTATATGAGAAACAGTTGTGTAAAACAATCTCATCATCATAAGACCTCTATAAGGCGATCTTATTTAGAAATTTATATACTACCTCCGTTTTCGACTCACTTACTATTCATTTGGTCAAAGTTGAATAGTTTTGACCACGTTTTACGATTTATACAATGAAAATAAATAAGCATGCGAGATCTTATTAGATTCTCCTTAATGTTAAATTTTAAAATATCAACTTTTTATAATTTTCACCTATACATAACCGAAGATATTCATGGTCAAAGATACACATTGATTTATACAGTGAGTCAAACTTTTAGAAACGCAGGGAGTATTAGTAATTGATTCATTTTAAGCAACAAGTATTGCATTATCTTCTTTTGGATGGAGTATGACTCCATAACTTATGTTGCTTCTTTCTCTTCTAAAAACGTTCCTTATTAGCATCTCCCTCTTAATTCAATCAAAACAATGAAAGGTTAAGAAACAAAAGGGTGACAAATCTTCAAGAAAATATTTTTCTTTGTCTTAGGTGGTAATAAACAACTAATGAAAGTTGTAGAAAATTTTTTGTGCTTTTATTTTTGTGTGTGATAAAATCAAAGGTATAGTTTCATGAAGTATCAATTGTGCAAGTATGCATTTATTAGAGGTGATTTCTTTTTCGTAATTTTGGCATGCGCTTATGTAACCTGTAATTATGATTAGTAAAAAAATTATCCTTATTTCTCCATTGCTTATGATATTTGATGAGAAGTTGAAGCTAGAAGTTACTTCGTATAGAGATTGAGGACTATAAGCGTGATGCGATCATTTTAGCTTGTTAATGCATTTATCAAATGGCCAAAATTTAATTAAGGTTATTTTATGAATTTCTCAAAAGGGATATCAAATTAAATCAGTGTAGCAAAATTAAGGATTTCTAGGTGACCAATTTAAGGTTACAATGCAATCTTCAATATGTTTCGGGGTAAAATTTTGTTACTTTATCATTGCTACACTTCAAGTTATGACTTTTATCTTTGATATACTTCATTAAATTTTAATTATCAGCGGTACAACCAAACTTAATTCTAATTAACTACAGTAACTAAAATGTTAAGCAAACTTTTAGTAAAGGTTAATGACAGCAATTTTGACTTAATATGACTTGACTAAATTGCCCTCCCCCCTAGTCATTAACTCTCCCTCTAAGCTCCAACTGGCAATAATAAAGACAAACTTTTGATCGTTCATCTTCTTCATCCCTTTAACTCTCTCCCTTGTTCTCATCCTTCTGAGAAACCTTGATTGACGCACGAGTGAAGCAAAATTCATAGAGATTTAGCGATACTTTGTTGATTGTAAAAGGTTTGTGATGATTTGTGACTTGAATTTTGTGTTTTTCGCTTTAAATTGTTAGGTTTTTGTTAATGTATGTATTTTCGTTTAAGTGGATGAAATATGATTTCCATGTACTACAATTGTATTTTGCTTTGAATTATGCACGATCTGCATAGGATTATGTGTGTTTACTTAATTTTGTCTTAGTTTTCATCATAATTCGATATTGGTGTGTTTGAGTTCACATTGTTTGGTGTCACTGATAGTTTAACCTAGGTTTAATTATGTGTTGTTTTGTAATAGTGGTACTTGATTATGCGATTTTGATTTATTTTGGTGGGATTAAATTGTGGTAGTTTAACCTAAATTTGCAGAATGAGTAACAATGTAGTATTAAGATTTCAATATTTTGTGCATAATGTTGATACTGAAGTGGACTCAGATACTTGCAACTGGATGGAATTAGCTATAGACTTTGAAGATCGTATTCCTAGTTTGGACGACCCAGTAGAACTTTATAACCCAACATTTCACTATGAGTAATATGGGAAACATTGGCTATTAGATGATGATGATGATGACTTAATAAGGATGTTTAAGATATTCCCTAATGTTGACATGATTTGCATTTTGGTTGGCACTACTGAGAATCCAACATTCATTAATGATTTAGTGTTAGGGTATAGGCTAAAACAACTAGCTCTTGGTTTTCTTCCAAATCACTCACCACCATCTCCATATCAACCACCACTACCACCTCCACCTCTAAATCAACCTTCTTATCGATCAAGGTGCAAACCCTTTTGACTAAGCTGCCCAGCCTTTTGATCAAGAGAAGACCAAACTAAAACCTAGGAGGAGATTGAGATTGACATACCAGTCAACTGTTGATGCATCTAATAGTGTAGTTCCTGCTAGCAAACCCTCATTAGAAAACCTTGACAGTAAGTTCTTTAATCATGACATAGAGGCTACCTGGCAGAAAGTATGAGGAGAGTAATGCTAATATGTCTAAGAAAGCATACACTAAGGGTAGGAAGAACTTTGAGAAATCTTGTGAGAAGGCTAAGGGAAAGGCCAAGGGTAAGGCCAAAGCTGATTCATTTGGGGCTAAGGAAAGGACAAGGGTAAAGACCAAAGAAATAGGCTCTTGTGATGAGAATTTACCCCCATCTCCCATTTCACCACACACTATTTTTAAAACACTTGTTGTAAGAAGAAGCCCTAGATTTTCACCTACATAGAACATAACCAAGCATACCACTCCCCATTATTCATCAAGTCCAAACAGCCAACCCTCAAATCCAATCATTAACCCTAACTTATTTGCTAAGAAAATATCTAAAAGTACACAAATTAGGAAGGGTATATGGATTGGTTCTAAGGGGAGAGTGACAAAACAACCTAAACAAGTGGTGAAGCTAGGGGAAAGTAGTGCACCTAAGGCTAGAAGAAAGGTGACCTATGTTAATGCTAATGCTGGTGGTGATGATTCTGGTGATAGGGATTATGTTGGAGCTATTGGTGGTGATGATGCTGCTGATTCAGATGGTGAAATGATCCCTAAAGCTGATGTACCTGAAAATGAATTACATGAGATTAGAAATGTTCCCCACATAAAAGACAACTGGGAACTTGATTTTTGGTCTGGTCTTATTTGAAGATGATAATGATTACTTACGGAAGCTGTAAGCATGGTGAGATGTATGAAGATGTAAAATTTGGGAAGATTGTTCTTAGACCTTGGAAGATCTTCATTGATAAGAGTCATTTGAGGGAGACCTTAAAAGACTATGCAGTTTAAGAAGGATTTGCAATAAATGTGTAGTCTGAAGATAACAAAAGATTCAATATCACTTGCCTGGCAGAATGTTGTGAATGGAGAATGTATGCTAGTAGGCTAGCAGATGGCAAGACATGGATTATTAAAAAGATTTAGCCAGATCTGCATAACTGTAGAGGGTTAGAAACATACTACCCAATTTGTATAGTTAGATGGGCTGCTCCTAATTAAGGTGATGGAAGACATAAGGGCAAATTTAGATATTCCAAGAAAGACCCTTAATGAGCTCCTATTTCAGAGATTTGGCATTTACAAGAAGCAAGCCACCTTGTATAGGTTGAAAAAATATGTTGTTCAGGATCTTTTTGGATAGCAAGGCTTTTGTGGCTTAGTATGAGAGTGAAAGTATTCCAAGGGTTAATTTATTCAGCGGTAACTTCATCTCATTTGCTAGACAATGGCATGGTTTTCTTGGTGGTTGCATGCCTTTAATTGGAGTTGATGGTGCACATTTAAAGGGGAACTATGGGGGAGTATTGCTATCTACAGTTGCCTTAGATGGAAACACTGAGATATACCCTCTAGCATATGCAATTGTGAGCAGTGAAGACAAGGAAAGCTAGAGTTACTTCTTTTGGCATATCCATAACATAGTCAAACATTCTAGTAGGAAAGATTGGACAGTGAATTCTAATAAGCAGAAAGTTTGTGTTTTTCCTTTGTTTTCTTTCAACTATTGAATTTGTGGCATACATTAATCATCTTTAATGTTGCAGGGTGTTGATCTTGCATTGAAACATGTGTGGCCTAAAGCAAAGAGAAGGTACTGTTGTAGACACTAGAGTAGAAATTACAAGAAATTAAAGTGTTCCTAGGTCCACTTATGTGCATTTTTTTATGGAGGGCATGCAATGCAACTAACATATACACTTTTAGAAAATCAATGGAGAGACTTCAAAAGGAAGTTGGAGAAGAAGTCATGAAATGTTTGCAGATTTAGGAGAATAGTCTAAGTGGAGTAAACACAAATTTGATCCAAATGTGTGCAATGACTCCAACGCTTCAAAATTTGAGAGTTGTAACTCAACACTTGGTGCTGACAGGTGCAGATATGTATTGACATTACTTGAAGGTAATGTTTCAACTTACTTGGATTTCACATGAGCTTTGATTTTAAATGAGATCTAACATTTGTCTGTTCTTATAGGTATCAGAAGAGTCTTGAAATACCCCATATTTTTATACGTATTTTTAATTTAAATAAGTATTTCTTAAAGTATTTAAATAATTCGAAATGAATTATTTATGATTTTTAATAATTTAAAAAGAATTATTTTAATTAAAAATTTTATTTTTAATTATTTAATAATCTTGAAAATATTTTATTTTATGATTTGGAAATATTGGAGCATATTATTTGATAAAAAGATAATTTTTACAGTCAATGGTATTTAAGGAAAGTCAAAATACTAGTTTGACTAGGAAAGGGATCATTAAGGGTAGTAAAGGAATTTTAAGTAGGAGGGATTTTCCCAAAGGTAAACTCTCTCTCTCCTCTTATTTTCTTTACCCCTTAATTTTTCCCGTTCTCCTTTATTTTATTATTCAATCACCACCCACACACACCACCACACACCGGCCGGCCACCACCACACGCCACTGGCCGGCGGCCGCCACCACCAGCGTACGCCAGCAGCGGCGGCCACCAGGTGGGCGCGCGGCAATCGCCCAGCCATGGTGGTGGCATGCACATCTCTTCAAAAAAAATTATTATTATTGTTCTTTGATTTTTAATTCAATCTAGCCTTACTTTAATTATTGTTTTTGGGTTTTGTGATGATTTTATGATATTTAATGATAATTATATTGAATATAAATTTTCAGATTTTGTTTCGAATTAAAAAGCCCCAAATTAAAAACCCTAGATTTCTAAATTAATGTTTATTGATGGAATTTGATTGTGGTTGATTAAAACTATCGAAATTAATGTTTTTAAACAAAATTACAGCAATTTTATAAGTTTTAATAATGCAGGAATTTTTATATACAAGCTAAATTATGTTTCTTGAAAGGATTTTTAATTACCCATTAATTGAAATAAAAGTAAGGGTTTTAAATTAAATTTCAGCTTGTTTTAGAGGGTTTATGAGTTATTAAAAGAGTGTATATATTGCTGAAAATTTGTGTGGAAGAGGTATTAATACTTCTTTGTAATTTTGGTTTGTAGGAGACTTTCAAGTGAGTGATTTTATTTAGTTGTGGCGATTTTGAGATCATATTCAAGGTACGTTCGTGTACTTTGTAACTATTTGAATATGTAGAGGCATGCTAGGTGATTAGGGGATTTTGCTCCCACCAATCGGAATGCGCCACGTGGGCCAATCAGGTCCTGCCAAGTGTCCCCCAGTTGGAACTATCAGGGCTTTCCACGTGGCACGCGCTTATTCGTCCACCTTGGACCTGTTATGTCATGACATGTGGCATACTCCATGCCTAATGGAGAAACCGGCCACCCAGGCCCAACTTCCGAGGAAAGCCCAATCGGCCCTAGGTTAACCTAAACCTAGGATGGGCACGTTTCCCAAGGTTATAAATACCTCCCTTAATCCTCATTAAGGGGGTTAACGAAAAAACACATTAATTACACACAGTAATAACCGGCTGATCTCGCTAACAAAGCAGATTACCTACATTAAACACTCTCACCTAGAGAGACCCAATCACTTTAATTTCCGCATTAATTACTCCTTAATCAAGTACTAACTTGACCGTTGGAGGCGGAGCTCCCACCACCAGGAGTCTCCGTTATTTTGCAGGTACAGGCGTCCGGTTCCAGTCTCGGAATTGTAACTCTCCCGCAGGACATCAGAAAACCCCGAAACATTTGGCGCCGTCTGTGGGGAGAGTACTTCTGAGATGGCATCCAAGTCTGTACCGACTCCTGAAGAGAGGCATCCCCTAGATGACCCTCAAGTTCAGTCGGACCATGATACCGAGAGTGAATTTGAAGTTGAAGCTCACACAGCTTCAGACGGGACCCTTAGGGCCCGACGTACCCGTCATACCGAAAGGAGGGAACGGGAACATCTTCAAACAGGAAGCGAGCCAGCAGGCGCACCGCCTGTTCGGCAACAGCCGACTGATGGGTCTGCTCCCATCACAAGGAACGAACTCATGACCTTCATGAGGGACTTCAAGGGAGAGATTCAAGAGTTGATCAACAAGAAGCCGCCTGCTCCAGTCAAGGAGCAGTCGGCTAAGAAACCCTCCACTTCACTGAAGAGGAAGCCAGTTCAAGGGCGAGAGGCGACTCCTCATCCTAAATCTAGGAAGCGGGAGCCACCTGCCCTTGATTTCACAAAATTCCGTTTTCCTACAGGAAATAGGAAACCTGTTCGTCATATTCAGGCGGACGGGTCGAAGCAAACATTCACAGACGCTCGGCTACTGCTAGAGCAGAAGAAGAGTGACCGATTGTCAGAGTCGGCCTCTACTTCAAACTTTCAAGACAGTCTGCGAAATGCCTCGATGAGGCATACTTAGTCGTATCATGAGAGTCAGTCAGGCGGCACCTCCCGTCAGTCCGGCTTTCATAGCGACCAGGCGGTACCAAACTTACCATTTGTGCCGCAACAACAGTATTTTTTGCAGCCACCTCCGTTTGGTGGACCTGCAGCAAAAAACGTCCAACCTATGGACTGGCAGCTACGGTTGCTTAGACTTGGTGAACAGCCGTCGGCCTTCTCCAAGGAAATTACTGAAGCCGCTCAGCCGGCCAAAGTGAAAAATGTACTAGTAGGCGCCTATGACGGCACTACTAACCCAGAAGACCATCTGATGGCATTCACCAACCTGATGTACCTTCAAGGGTTGGATGATCCCACTTGGTGCAAGTGTTTCCCAGCGACTCTCAAAGGAATCGCACAACAATGGTTCGGCAACCTGCCGACTGGTTGTGTAAATAGCTTCAGGACGCTTGCTTACTTATTCACCTCCAACTTCGCCATGAACATCCCTGCGAAGAAAACGACCCTTGATTTAGGAACAATTCAGCAGGGCGAGAAGGAGGGGCTTCGTTCTTACATCAGGCGGTTTAACCTGATGAGAATACAGATTCAAGGGTTACCGGATGAGGTAGCCTATACTGACTTTTTCAGAGGTCTCAAAGACGGGTCTACCTTCAAATTTGATTTGGTTCGAAAAAGGGTGGCGACTCTTCAAGAGGCCTTGATTGAAGCAGAAGCCTATATACAGGCGACTGATCTTTGCACGGTAAAACAGTCGGACGGGAAAAGGTTCGACAAAAGAGAAGGACGACAGAAACAGTCGTCAAACAAAGATGAGAAGAGAAAAGAGGTCTGGGCGGCTGATTCCTCTAAACAGCCGGCCCAGAAAAAGAAAAAAGAATTCAAACCATACTCCCCAAAGTATGCGTTTAACAAGGATAACCAGTTTATCCTAAAAGAAATCAAGGGACGGATCTCAATTGAGAAGCCGGTCCCCATGAAGGGTTCTGCAAACAACCGGAACCAAGATAAATTCTGTGCTTATCATGATGATGTTGGTCATCACACCAATGACTGCATCAGTCTCATGCGGTATCTGGACCGCCTGGCTGAGCAAGGTGATCTTGACACTTATGTCAAGAAATCTACGGGGAACACTTCCTCAAAAAAGCAGTCGGCCAAAAAGAATCAACAGGCTGACAGCTCTGATACAGATGATGCAGTCGTCTACACCATTGCAGGCGGCTTCTCAGGAGGCGGCCCCACTATTAGGGGCAACAAAGAAAATATCAGGCGGTTAGATGTAAATTCCGTTCACCAAGAACGGCCGTCCAAATATTCATTTCCTGAGATTGTCATCAATGAAGAAGATCTAGGAGGGGTAAGAGGGCCGCATGACGACCCTATCGTTATTGAATGTAAAGTGGCCAACCAGAGAGTTGGCCGAATCCTCATAGATACCGGAAGCTCCTCAGATCTCATCAGTAGCAAATGTCTGTCGAAACTAAAATATCAGACTGATTGCATACATCCGGCCTCCCACCCTTTAGTAGGGTTTGGAGGAGGAGTCGTCCACCTAGTGGGACGAGTGGATTTACCCATCCGCCTGGGTGAAAAAGGGGAAGGACGACACATGGTAGTCCGGTTCCTGGTAGTAGAAGAACTCTCGGCCTACAACATGATTCTGGGTCGACCAACCCTGAATAATTCCAAGGCTGTTATAATCCCATCTCTTATGTTGCTCAAGTTTGAGAGGGATAATGGAACAGTCGGCTCCCTAAGGGGAGATCAGAGGATGGCCCGAGAGTGCTATCTCTCGGGTATCAAGCCCACTGGGTCAAGCGGTGAAAAAACAGACCTTGACAATGTCAAGGACAGTGCGCCTGTTCAAGAAGCAGGCGGCAAGAAGAGAAAGGCATCCCAGACAGGGGCCGCAAGAAAGGAAAGAAAATAGCAATCAGTGGCAGAGGAGCGGTCGGATGAGTTCCGCCCTCAGCCGGTTGGTGAGCATGCGGACCTGATCTTAGACGACTCACGTCCTGACCGAACACTCAAAGTTGGGACGACTGCTCTGAGAGACCTTGGTGACGACTTTCACAAACTATTGAAAGAATACAAGGACATCTTTGCATTCGAAGTCCATGAAATGCCAGGCATTAGTCCTGAACTGGCGGTACATAAACTGGCCGTAGATCCGAAAAAGAAGCCGGTACGGCAAAAGAAGCGGAACCATGGCGAAGAAAGAAGTCAGGCGGCAGCCGCCGAAGTTAAAAAATTACTTGATGCAGGGTTCATTCGGCAATGTTACTTCCCAGACTGGGTTGCAAATGTGGTGCTTGTTAAAAAGCCGAATGGCACCTGGCAAATGTGTGTAGACTACACAGACTTAAACAAGGCGTGCCCCAAAGACAGTTACCCTCTGCCTAAAATTGATAATCTGGTCGACTCAACAGCCGGCCATGCTTTGATGAGCTTTATGGACGCCTACTCTGGTTTCCATCAAATTCCTTTATGGAAGAAAGATCAGGAGAAAACGGCCTTCGTCACTGATCAGGGGTTATACTGTTACACGGTCATGCCGTTTGGTCTTAAGAATGCTCCGGCTACCTTCCAGCGAATGATAAACACTGTGTTCTTTGATCAGATTGGGAGAAATGTCGAGGCATACATTGATGATATGATTGTCAAGACTAAACTTCAGAAAGATCATCTGTCGGACCTCCGAGAAACTTTCGCCACACTCAGGCGGCACCATGTCATGCTCAATCCCAAGAAATGTGTATTTGGAGTTGAGTCTGGGAAATTTCTCGGGTTCCTTATCAATCAGAGAGGAATAGAGACGAACCCTGAGAAGGTGCAGGCGGTCACTGACATGCAGTCGCCTCGTACCATCCGAGAGGTTCAGAAGTTAACAGGTTGTCTGGCGGCCTTGGGAAGATTTCTAAGCCGATCAGGCGACAAATGCCTTTACTTTTTCCAGGCAATTAAGAAAAAGGCAAGGTTTGAATGGGGGTCGGATGCTGAGGCCGCCTTCCAGAAATTGAAAGTTCACTTGCATTCCTTGCCGAGGCTGGTCAGCCCTTTGCCCAAAGAAGTACTCTACATGTACCTGGCCGTCTCTGATCATGCGTTAAGCGCTGTTCTCCTTGCTGAAAGAGACGGCTGTCAGCTCCCGGTCTACTTTGTCAGTCACGTACTGAAAAATGCCGAGTTGAGGTATCCCCTAGTGGAGAAATTTGTTCTTGCACTCTTCATGGCTGTTAAAAAATTGAAGCCCTACTTTTTGGCACATGCAGTCGTCGTGTATACAGACCAACCTATCAAGCGGCCACTTACCATCATGGAGTCGTCAGGCCGAATGATCAAATGGGCCATAGAAATACAGAGCCTCGAAGTTACTTTCGAGCCTAGAAAAGCAGTGAAGGGGCAAGCCTTTGCTGACTTTATTGTAGAGATGACTCGTCCTCCTGACTCTCAAGTTCCAGACCAAGTATGGAAGGTATATGTGGACGGAAGCTCTACTTCAAATGGTGGTGGAGCAGGCGTCATATGTCAGTCGCCAGAGGGCGACAGGTACGAGTATGCTCTACGCTTCGGTTTTCAGGCTTCAAACAATGAGGCAGAATATGAAGCTTTACTAGCCGGGATCCGCATGTGCAAGGCGGCAGGGGCAAGAAAAATAGACGCCTGTTCCGATTCACAATTGATAGTGAGTCAGTACAATGGCGAATACGAAGCAACCCATCCGGCCATGATCA